ATAATTTTGAATTAGTATTCATTATTTTTTATTAATTTGCTTAAAAATGGTCAAAAGGATTTTAAATTGTAAGTTATAAAATCTTTCGTATCATTTTAACAGAATTTTATGTAACAAAATGCACAAATTGAATGAAATCAGTCGAATAGTATTCGCGAAATCAAATTTTAAAATAGACGTACCTTTAAATTTTGATTTCTAAATTAGAAACTATTCGAACGACTTCGTTTAAATTGTGTATTTTGCCTTAAAAAAATACGTTCTTTAAAATGATTTAAAAATATGGTTAAAGTTCATTCGGTTTTACAATTATTTTCTTAATACTATTAATAAATATTAGAAAATAACTTCTTTTTCTAGAAGCTCAAAAATGTTTCAAAAAATAGCAAAATTCGCAAAACGTAAAATTGACATTAAGGGTTTCAAAACTTGAACCATATTTCGCAGATTGCGGCTACCCTTATATTTTGGGGGTCAGAAATCCAAATCTCTCATAAAAAAAGTATGTTTATTCAGAAAAAGTATGTTTTTGTGCCTATTTCGTAACTTAAAATATTGTCTGTACATATTAATTAGCATGTTTGAAGTCAGCCCCGCGAGCCATTAAGATTTAATAATAGAACGTTAAGATCCGGTTGGATTGAGGCGACCCCCTTCCCTTATTTTGAGGGTAAGGAATTCAAATCCATTGACAAAAAATTTTATTATAGCAAAGAAAGTTTTTGTGTCTGATTTCGTAACTTAAAACATCGTTTGCACTAACTATTTACCATATTTAAAGTCACATCTTTAAACTCGTAAGATTGATTCTTATAACGGGAAGAGCCGATTATTAGTTCAAAAGTTATTCAGAGTGTGTTCCATTTTTTTATTGCACTACACCCCGTACTACAATATTCCGTTCTACTAATACATGAAAAGTTATTCAGAAACAATTGAAGTTACTTTGATAGTACTTTATTAAAAATTTTACAAATTAATAATTAAAGCTGCTATTAAATTTGTGAAAATAAACCTGCCATATATTTATCTTTCCTCACGCTTTAGTTTAAAATAAAATAAATATCAAAATAACAAGAAATAAATAACAAAATATATGAATTTTCTTAAACAAACAAAAAGTTTCTGGTAATCATTTATTCATATAATTTCATAAACTTACTTCATGTAATTCATGTAAGCATTAATTATGTAAGCTATAAAGTAAAGTACATAAGAAATAAATGCATGAAGCATTCAGAAATATTGGACAAAGAAGTTAACTAGTTTACAATTATTAAATTAAAGATTCAATGCTGCTATGCAACTTTGTTCGTGTCGTCAGTAAAAGTCTGTCCTAACAAATAATGTTTCTCTGCACTTCTTTATTTTATCTTTCCTAATATAAAAAAAACTACTGTTTTACTGTTTCCTCCTTTTTTATACTTTTATATTTTCAATTGTTCCATACCCTGTTGCAAGTTAAGAAAAAACCATTATCCCTAATGGAGAGAGCCTGTTTGCAGCTAAGTGCACGCTAAATAGATGTCAAGCTCAAGGCGCGAACGAATATCAACTTCGCCAACTCTTGAAACGACGCAGCAAGGCCTTCTTTTTGCATAAAAAAATAGCATGAATTAAATTTCTGTCCGATGAGTTTAAATATTAAAAGCTTTTTTATTGTTTTGAAAGCATAATTATATAATTTGATAGCTAAATGAAACGGAACTATTTGCAGCCGCGGATGATTACTTAAATCCTGTACCGTAATGGTCTTTTCTTACTTGCAACGAATTATAGCATGTTTGTTCTCAGTCTAGCTTTAGGATCTAATATTATGCATCCTCTAAGCCTAATTATAAAGATTAATTATCATGCTGTTCGAAATAATATGAATAATGCTGTTGAATTTAAATTTGGAGTAAGTCCATAAGCATTCCATAAATTCATGTTAAGAATCCAGACTGATTAAATGCTATAAATCAGGCAAAAAGAATTCAGAGCATGGCTATTTATATCACTATAATTTTACTATCTTTCCATTCAGACTAACATAAAGTATTTTTTTTTCAAAAATTATTTCCTTTTTTTAAAAAAATAGACATTTTGAATGAAAAAAAAAATATTAATAGTAAATAATTAATGTCTCGTAAAAAAGCCAACAGAAAACATGTGCAGTGGCCTAAATCCTTAAAGACCGTATACATACAGGAAATTTAAATGGACAGTGATAATCAGAAAAAATAAAAAAATTTCTCCGATTAAGAATCTATTATTTAACTAGGGAGCTATTAATTTCTTTAATGAATCCCATTCAATGTACGCTTTACAAACTTAAAATAACGGAAAGTTGGCAATAAACAGTTTTGAAACAAAAAAATTACATTACAGTTTCTGTTTTCAAATATTTATGCAAATATCTCAAAAATTCAAGAATTCTCTCTAATGATGGAATTAAAGGTTATCATTTAAATGTTATTACTGAAGAAAAAAAAAGATTTTAATGAGCATTTATAAAAGGACTTCAAAGAGAAGGCTTAAATGAAGCTTTGAAGGAATTACACTATTCCACTTTTAACATGGTGCTCGTTTTTTTTTCTTTCTCTTTACAAAATTAAGATTTTGAGAGTGATACTTAAAAAAAATTAGTGTCTGTCTGAAAAATAGTTTTTTGAGACTGACACTTGAAAGTTAGCCAAATGTGGGTAGTAAAATAATAAAGCTAGACTATTTAATATATATATATATATATACGTAAAAAGAGCGTGAGTAATATAAAGTTGGTTCCCTGAAATATAGCAAAATATTTTTGAAAAAAATTGCTGAAATTTTTAATCAATAAGTTTTAACGAATTACACAATGTTATCAGCAATTAGTTGTAGAAAGTAAATAGTTATTATATAGTACAAACATTATAAAAAAGGGGCTTAAATTTCAAAGATCTATTAGAAAATTAACCCAGACCATTAAGCAATAATTAGTTGCGGAAAGTGAATTTTTTGTAAAAATTGACGATAGAATTGCAGAAAAACATGTGGCTAAAACATTATTCCTATTAGACATGATTAAAAATCATCGGAATGTTAGTAAATTTTAAGGTATACAGTTCTTTTAAAATTAAATATGAATATGAAAACTGATGCATTCTTTTCATAAGGCTTTAATTTATTTTTAGGATTATCTATGTACTATAAAATTTTATTCTTTGCAATGATTTAACAGATAAAAAACTGTAGCGCAGCTGTTCAAACCAGCTAACATTTTCCCTCTTTTCTTAAACTGTCATATTTGCGACCACGTGATACATTCTTTAACAATTTCATCGAAATAGCTCATTAAAAATTAATAAGACACCCATTGCCTTAAGTAATTATTTAACAAAGAAATAGTTTTACTTACTTCTAACACAGTTGTAAAAAAGCTAGTTCATAAGCTTCGAAGCTTTTTTATACTTTTTACACTTCAAATTATATATTTTGAGTACACGTGCAATTATTTTCAAGCAATGAATTCATTGAAATAATATATTAAACATTATAAAACACTCATTAACTTACGTAACTATTTAACAGAGAAATAGATCTGTTTACTTCCAACACAGTAGTTAAAAAACACAGTAATAAAAAGCTATTTTGGTGGGTAGATACTATATTTACGTAGCACTAGAGCTGCACAATGTGCAATTGGCGACGGTTTTGGAAACATATCTGAAGATGATTCGAAGAAATGCCATCTTAGTTTTAATTCTCTGCAGAGGGTATGCTCTCCCACATTGGTAGCCCTACGACCTGGGCGCTGAGTTGAGTACTTTGCGGTAGAACAGCATAACAAACATCGATTCTGCGCGCCCTCGGTCTCTAACCAGGCTGATCAAAGAGGTCACCCAATTGCTTATTGACCGCAGCCAGTGAAGCTTGATTTCGGTGCTCTAATGGAAATCGTCTCTTTATGATCTGCCCCTACAGGACGCTGTTTTGAAGAGGAAACGGTTTTTATGTCTTTTTCAGCCCTGTCATGGAAGGATTAAGGGTATACGATACTCTATACCGTTTTTCAACTCATTTTACGATTATTTTCTAAACTAGATCTTATTTTTCAGCTATTACTTTACGGTTTTGAACATGGCATAAATAGAACTGCTTCAAATTTATTGTCAAATTGATACTCTGCCTGCTCATTATATTTTTGCACATATAATTATTTTATAAGTTATGTTGGCAGACATTTCTATACGATTTGGCCACTACAGTTTTAAGCATTTTTACACTTAAGTGATATTTCAAATTTTAAGACTTTTGAGATACAAATAGTTGAAGATTCTTCTTAATACTGCGACACCATAGCTGTGGTAACTCAGAGGACAGAATGCTCACCTCTTAGAGAGGTGACCGAGGTTCAAATCCCAACGAATGCTGTTAGTGGCTTGCACCGATCACAATGCTTACATTTTAGGGAATTTCTTTTCAAATAACAGAGTTCATTTTGGAGTTTGTAAAAAATTTTACTAAAAATAGCAATACTAGTCTGTGAGAAAAACTGGCGCCTGTTTTTGAATAAGAATATTTTACTGTTAAATAGACGGTTTTATACTAAGATCGCTACCTTACTGTTTTTTTCCCACAAATGTAACAGATTTTTTGCTGTGCATGAGTAATGTGTAATTTAATATTTGTTTATTTCATGGTTCTTTTAAAGTGCATATTACTTTTTTTTAATTGCCAATAAAGCTAATTAAATTTTGCCGATTAAAATTTTTATTTAATTCCATAAATGTAGTCTACGGGATCTACATTAATTGCAACTTTTATACAATATGACTGATTTTCTAAAGCATATTCTTCTACAAATTCTTCCTTTTTCGACACAAAATCTTAAAAGATTAAAATTATTTTGTTTTTCGAGAAACTTATAGAGTTAAGTGCTTTAATTTGAGACAGGAATTATAAAAAAAAAGCTTTCTTAAATATAATTACACTTGTCACACTTTTTCTTACAAAGTGATAAGAGTTTTGTTACGTACCTCCTACCGCTTCGCAAGTCAATTTTATGCTCTGCCCTTCCAAATACGGACCCGCCGTATCTCTTATTTCTTCATCATGCTCGTTCAATATTGCGAGTTTCTGAGGGGGAACTGAAAAGAAAAACAGCCATGATTATGAAAGTAGAGAACTAAGTTTGAAAGAGAAAAAAAGGCAAATTGCGGGGTTTAACTGTGCCCTAATTACATCGTAATACATGAAATTTTAGAAGACAAGTATGCGCTTGTTTAAAAGATAATTATAGATATAAATCCATGCAACAGTGTATGAAAATTAACTTGAGAGTTTTGGAAGTTTAACTTGAAAGTTTTGGGAGAGTGTGACATTTATTTTTATACAATCATATTTGTTCGATTTGATTATTGTTCCAAAAATGATAAATTGTCGTTATATGTACATTTTAAGATGTCAATGTAAAATTCTCATTATTACTCAAAACTAAAAATTAAACTTTTATTTATTTTACTACAATAGGTATATGCACATGTCCATGCGTACACTGTAAAAAATCCGGATCAAATTACGGAATAAAGTACCGGCATTTTTTAGGTATCATCCGTAAAATCCATTTTACCGTAAAGTACATTTGTATCAAAAAACATCACACCTTAAATTTTACAGTAAGTTTATCAAAAACGGTAAAAAGTATTACAGTAGTACTTAACCGTGTGTTGATCCGGAATTTCTTATATTGTGGCAAATTCCAGTCACATATCTATGAAATGGTTATAAGTACAAATGTATCATTCTAATCGTTTTAAAATAGTACTAGTAAACTAACTATTTCAAACAAAAACTACGAACATCAAAATTATTTTTAAGCTTTAAAAATTAATATGTAATTTTCCATCAAGTGAATTAAAAAGAATTTTTTCCTAAAAATAAATTAAATAATTGAATTTATAAATTATGCTTTAAACCTTTTTATCTGCAGCAGAGAGCATTTCCTTAACACTTTTAGAAAAATAGGTTCAGCATTGAACCACGATCTCGCCACCATGAATCATAACACATTGCATATTTTCATAGCATTATGCCTACAACTTTAATTAGTTGTTAAATTGTCTAATGTACTAAAGTTCAAATTGAACCCGATTATTTTATAGCAAAGTTTAATAAATGTGGTAACCTGGTTTAACTTAAGAAGAATGCTGCAAATCTAAATTTTACTCTGATTCAACGAGAATCTTCTAAAATTTCTAACAATTTAATTGCGATACGTAACATACTTACTAACAGGTTTTACATTCTATGTGATGATTACTACAGATGTGTTAACAACATTAATGTGCAGTAGTATAATTCTATTTGATAATTCAATGCTAATCTGTTCGATGCTAATTTTTACATCAGTTAGGCTTACATCTAATTTTTTTTTTTCTTTATTGGAAACATTGACGACTGTTTTGTTAGGAAGTACTGGAGAGCTAGAAGCCTAATGATCTAATGGTCAATGGCTGGCATTTGCTTAATTAATTTTTATTGGAATCATAATGTTTCTCACTGCTAAATTGTAAGTAATAATATTTTTTCGTATTTTAGCGCTATATGAGTTCGTATTATAAACTCAACTTAAAGTTAGCGTTTCCATTTAGCGAATGAATTAAAAAATGAAAAAGAAATAAATAACAAAATAATAGAACAGTGTTACTTAAAACAAAATACCAACTTGCATAAGTTAATGACAATAATATAAATTACTCAAGTTTATTCTTATATTTTGTTGTGGTTTCAAGGTTCAAAAGATATAAATACATCTTTCGAGATAAAATTAAAGTTCAGCAAACAGTAGTCGTATATCAATATAGCTTACATAACAGTGCAAAGTGACTCAGGTAACTTTAATCTGCAGACAGTAAATGCTAGACGAATACAAAGAAGATATTTATAAAAACTCTGTATTGTGCCTACGAACTTCCATCGATGCATAACAATCTTTTGAAATTTATAAACTTCTGATGCTTGCAAAATCGAGTCGAGTTTCAAGAAAAATGAAAGGTGTACTATAAGTTTACAGCTAACTACTACATGCATGATGAAACAGTTAAAAGGCTCGAGTAATTATTTAGAGAACATTAAGATAATGGATCAAACTTTCGCTCACGACTTATATTGACTTGATAGGTTCTTGATTAATAAACAGAATGTATAAGAACTATAATATATAATGTAATATGTAATAAGAACTATACTTTCGAGAACGTCCGGTAAGCAGTTACCGTGTAAACGAAAACATTGCCAAATGAATTATTTAAATACTGTATATTTTGGTTTTTATTAACCAAAATTATGTTTTCTGTTTATCAGAAATGCAACCACTATAGAGCACGGTATTTTCACCAGAATTGTTTCATTTGTGCATGATTTATAGTAGTGAATGTGTCTGTGATCGTCCGTCGATATGCCGCAATATTGATTGAAGTTACAGGATGCGTCCTTCTTTTTTCAACAAGATCGGGCAATCTCCCCCATTGTCAGACAGATGTTGAAATTCTAAATAGCAAACTTCCTCTTTCTTGGATTGGGTGCTGGTCGGACGATTGCAATTGACTTTCGCAATGGACAGAACGCTCGCCAGACTTAGCTCTCTGGGATTGTGTCATGAAATTACATGAAAGTTTACGTGCTCGTGTAGGTGCATCCTATGCTTCGTAGCAAAATTACGACGAAGGGTCCGCCACCATTGATCGTGATATGTTGCAGCGAATGCGAAAAGAATTAGGCTTAAGTCTGTCACAACAGCAAAGATTCAAATATAAATCTATTATCATTTGCTTATTTTTTTAAAAGAAAAACTTTAATATAAGTATGAAAAAAAAAATATTTTTGAAAAACAATTTTAATAATTAATTTTTATCTTTTTCAATCGAAAAAAAATGAAAAAGTGGAAAATATTTTTTACCTTCAATCGTTTTTTAGTTGAATAACATATCCATGAAAATCCTTACATTGTTCTTATAAATATTTTGAATTTAACGACATGCGTTTCACGTAAAAAATATACGGACAAAAAAAAATAAAGTACAAATCTTAACTCTCAAATCAAACTATTTGCTCCCACAATAAGAACTAATAGCCGTAATATATACGATGTTTCTGGCTCTATGTGAGCACCAGAAAACTTGGTAATTTTTGCCGAAGCACAAACGTAAGCTATGGCATTACAATAAAAAAAGTATGCTCTAAACTACCTGAATATGGAAAAATTTGCTGTCTTTTGGCTTTATGGGACTACCAAAGCTCTTGGTAATATTTATCGAAGTCCTTTGGTAAAATTAACAATAAATATGGTTTTAAAATCTGAGATAAAATTTTGTAAATTTGGCAAAATTTTGTAATTTTTAGAGCATTGCATAAAAATAATCCGAAAATTTTACTTTTCAGTTTTGTACTTTTCACTAAATGAGTGGTAATAAGAACTATAATTTAGAAAACTGGTAAACCGTTTCTAGTAAACCGTTACCGTATGAGCACAAAAATTACAAATTTAATAGTTGTTGTTTTTTTAAACAGAAATGTAATTACCGTACGGTACAAAAATTTTACCAGATATTTTTTCTCTGTGAGCCAATTTCTTTTTACTTCAGTATTTCAAAATCTAAGCTTAGAGTTTTATTTACAATTTTTTTTCAAAGTGTAGGTAATGATGATGCGCTTCTTAGTTATTAGATCCCTTCAAAAATATTAAATAAATTTGAATTCATTAACTATCATTTTCAACCCATTCATGATGCAACTAAGCGATTATAATGAATAATATCATAGCAAGTCATATTTAATATAATAGCTAGTCATTTGTCATTCATATATAACTAGGAACCTCTGCCCTCTGCTTGCTTCGCTTAACAACTCGACGAATTTTTATGTAATATTTTGTCTCTTGCCAATAAACAGTCTTTTACTCGTATATGAAAACTAAAACGTATTCAATGGATAGATTTCTTAATATTGATATATATATATATATATGTATGTG